CATATCCATTAATGAGCTCCAACAAGTCAAGTCTTAAACTTGCTGAATCGGCCACAATTCTAGCTCACATAGGTAGGCCTTTTCAAATTGTGTTATGCAATCAAACACTTTATCAAAAGATCTATTAAGACATAGTCAACCTCATTACACATTGCAGATTCAAGCACTTACCTCGGGGTGGTTATTTTCAAACATGTTTCAATCACATAGTGACTTACTTATCGTCATTGAACTCAAGATCTAGCGTTGTATTTGGCGTTGAGTTGGGCTTTCGTTCACTTATGATTATATTCTAAGGGCTTTAACATCATCCTTTTGTTGTTTTGTACACCATGTCCCTTGACATCGCCTTTGTAAAAGAATCTGCCAAATTCACATGTGATCGTACAAAATCAATCACAACAACTCCATAACTAATAACATCCGTTGGATCTTATGTTTTGTTGATGACATCTTTATGCTCGTTGTCAAACGAATATCTAACTTCGCAGATGGAACTATGGAAAGAACTTGTTCTTCAACCTTGCAACAGGTTTCAGGACATTGCCAAATGCATGGCGTAATTATTTGTTTACTATTAAAATGCTTTCCATGTTTGATGGTCACCAAATATATATTTGATTACACCTTTAAATGTGGTCTGATCTATGTAATGTAACGCTGACCTATTTTGAGAGACGATCGGATACTTCCTTTGAAAGTCCAATTAAATCTTTGAAAGTCCCGTTAAATCTTTTGGAGTTTTAATTTGATCCAAGTTTATAATCTGCCAGTCGGTTATTATCGTTTCGGTCCTGTAACGTAACTTTAAGTACTTGCAAATTTGATCCTGTAACTAATAAATCTTTGTAATTTAAGGACTTCCCACCGGAAAGTACACTTTCCGACAGAAAAGTCAGATGCCAGCGACATCTTTTCCGGTATGCTATTGGCGGAAAGTGTACTTATCAGGGGAAAAGTTCTTAAATCGCAAATATTAATTAGTTAGAGGACCGAATTTGCAAGTGACTAAAGTTACGGGATTAATAATGATAAAGGCCGAAGGTTTGTTAAGCTTGATGAGAATCAGTTTGAAGGGAGGTGGATGGCTTATTTGAGAATCCGGGTGTGTCCAGATATAGGAATACCTCCGGAGAAGAATATGAAAGTGTAGAAAGTAAAGGATGATTACCTTTGGGTGGATCTTAGGTATGAAAAACTCCACAATTTTTGTTTTGTTTGTGGTGTGGAACAAAAGCGTAGGCAGGTGGAAGAAGAGCTAAATGAAAATGACTACATGTTGATGGAGCTGGAGAATAGTGAAAGAAAAAATGAGGTTAGGGTGAGCTCAGGTTAACGGGCTCGCCCGGAACAATGCGGGTTAGGGTGCGTGTTGGCACTTTCATTTTCTACAGTTTCAGTTTTATTCTCAAACTTTGTCGGTTTTTTATTTTTGTTTTGCTTTTAATTGTGGTAGTCACGATGATAGGGAGTTTTTGTGTTTGATTGTTTTATGGACACATGTTGTGAATGCTTCATTGGGCATGTTCTTCCATTGGATCATTATAGGCAACTCATCCGATCAATGATTAGCAAATTATTTTGCATTTTCTTTTTTTTTTTTTGGATGAACAGTAAGTATATATTGAGTAACCATCCAAAGAGTTTAAACTGTACAAGCAAAAAGGTGGCCAAAATTTTAGGCTATCCAAAGAATGGATAACCCATCACCTCCAAAACCAAAACCAGAGAGGCTGGTTAGCACTCTATGCAAAGCCGATCACAAAAACAAGGTGATGGGCTAATGAACGTCAAAAAACCACCAATTCATGTGGATATATGCTATACAAAACTTTATAGACGATATACTTGATCCGAGCAAAAACGTCTTCAACTTTGGGGGAAATACCATCAAACTTGATGGCATTTCTAGTCCTCCAAATGTGATAGACCGAGAAGCAAAATGCAATCCTTGTTGCTTTAGCTTTAATGGTGGCTCCACTCCTCTCCTTTTTAATCCATTTGACCGAGCTTGAAAGTGTGCCCATAAGCCTCGGCATGTCCATCCAATTCTTCACCAAGCTCCAAATTTTTCCTGAAAAAGGGCATTCAAAGTATAGGTGTGAAGCCGTTTCCGGCCCACCCTTGCACATAACACAAATGTTAACTACATCTAATCTATGAAGATTATCACATGTAGCCAACCTATTCCGGAATGCCAACCAAGTAGTAAAGGAAAATTTAGGGGGAATATAGTCTTTCCAAATAAAGGACATCCACCTACGGGTAGAGGCCTTAATTCTAAGTAAATCATAGACTTTGGAGGATACAAGTTTACCATTAGCTTGAAAGGAGTTCAAACAGCGAATGGTGTCAGCCACATCCTCGAATTTGGAGATGATCTCATCACGTACCATGGCAAATTTCTTCATTAATTGTGAATCCCTATGGTGTGGGACAAAATCCCACACACTTCGGCCATTAAGATACACACTATGAACCCACTTAACCCATAGAGTGTCCTTTTTAAGATGAATGTCCCAAAAACTTTTAGCAAGCAAAGCTGAGTTCCAGATTTTGCATTTTCTAGTCTTAAGGCAAATGACCGAATTGGATGTGTTTGTCTTACTGCCCGTTTGTAAGGGAGAGCAAACCCGATCCTATCCGATTGACCCGATCGGATATATCTGATTTTTTTTGTTGGGGTCGGAAAATCTGACCCGAAATACCTAAACTCGATCCGATTCTTGCAACTCGAGATTTAAGCGGGTAGCGGGTAGGGTTACCAAATATGCTACCCTACTCGTCCGAAAAACCGAACTAGCATAGTATATATACTACTTTAAATTATTCTGCATGTTCAAATATCTCAATTATTGTATGCCAATTACCATATTATGCATGTTCAAATATTCCAATTACCGTATTTGTACAACTATAACTTTGAATGTTGTATTGTTATGACTTTGAATGATATTTTGACCAATTATCATTTTATTTATCACAATATCAAATATGTCAATCACCGTATATTATTATTTTACATGTTCAAATATGTCGATTAACGTATTTATACAACTATTACTTTGAATGTTTTTTTTTTAGTTTTTTTACTTCAGAGGGCGTCTGGGGGAGAGGGGCTGGGGGAGTCTGGAGTAATCTAGGCTGAAACTCACTCCATTGAGTTTCGAACCCGAGACCTCCCATAAGGGTGAGTGAGTCGGACTGGACTGCTTCCTCGAATTATTAATTTGAATGTTATAATAGTATTCCCTCTTGTCCTAAATAAAGTTCAGTGTTTGACTTCACACAAATTAAGGAAATAAATTTGACTTTACTGTAGAGTACACTGTTGTGACACTGTTTTGCACTGTTTTGATCGGCCCAAAAAGGAAGGCGTGAACTTTATATAGGACCGGAGGGAGTATAACTTTGAATGACATTTTTACCAATTACCATTTTATTTATCACAATTTCAACAATAATAGATTAAAATCCCAATGCAATGGACCCGAAAACCGTATCAACCCGACCGCAACCTCAAAAAAACCCGATAAATTTTTTGATAGGGTAGGGTTTGAAGTTATCAATCCGATACCCGAACGGATTTACCATTTTTGAACCCCACCCTCCCGAACCCGACCCGTGCTTTGCCCTATCCGTTTGTGTTTCTATTATTATATCAATAAGTTTTTTTCATTCAAACCACTTTTTAACCATTGAGGTGATGAATTGAACAACTCGATCAGTCACTTATTTGAGCTTTAATTTGTTACATCAGATGTACATGACGGATCGTGTACCCGTGAGTAGCTTATCTGAGCGATATTATATGAAATATCAAGGGAGAGGTTAGAGCAATAAGTAAGAGAGAGGGAGAGTAGGTGTATATTATAAATGAGCTTAAGATTCGGATCTGGGATCCTTTACAATGGAGAAGGGGGAAGCCATTTATAGCAGCCATAGATGCTAGGTGCAATAAGTGAGGGTACACATGGCAAGTAATCAGCAGTGAAGAGTCGACTCAGCCATGGTGGCACCGACACAGCATGTGGCACCGCATTCAATGCGGTGCTTGGAGTTGACACTGCATTTAATGCAGTGATTCAGATCATGTGGAGATGTGTTACAAGAGTGCCCTCGGCTACAAGCACCGGGGGGCTGCATGTGTCGAAGGCTATGTATGAACCGAAGGCTTCCTGTGCCGAAGGACGTACGTCCCCTGGGGGCTTCCATGTGCTGGAGGACGTACGTCCCCTGGGGGCTTCCATGTGTTGGAGGACGTATGTCCCTTGGGGGTTTCCCTGTGGTGGAGGACGTACATCCCCTCGAGGCCAGGGGCGGACCTATATGTGTTCAAAAGTGTTCATGTGAACACCCAAAGATTTTTTTTTGTATAAAAAATACATATATAAATTTTCTAGATTTTTTTTATAAATAAATTTGAACACCTAAAATTTGAAAAATAAATTTGAACACCTAAAACTAACATGGTAGATTCGCCATTGCTCGGGGCTCCTATGTGCTGGAGGTCGTACGTCCCCTGGGGGCTTTTATGTGCTGGAGGACATACGTCCCCTGGAGGCTTCCATGTGCTGGAGGACGTACGTTCCCTGAGGCCGTATGTAGCTGGAGAGGACCATCATCTGTTAGAGGTCGTACGTACTTGAGCTATTCATGTATTAGAGGTCGTACGTACCCAAAGTCCTTCATGTGTTAGAGGTCGTACGTACCCAAGGCCCTTCATGACTTCATGTGCTAGAGGACGTACGTCCCCTGTGACCTTTATTTTCCAAAGGACGTACATCCCCTTGAGCATTATATTCAGGGGTCTTGTTTGTTGTGTTTAGGCCGTTTGAACTTGTTGAGTTTGATTGTAGTAGTGGAAGTATGTGGGTTGGGGTTTGTCAACCATACACTCCATCGGTACGGTTGACACCTTATTCAGGGGCATGGCAACAAAAAGTGAAATCCAATTTAAGTTTTTAATTCATGGGTCAAATGATCATTCCGAAAGAATACATAAACATTTTTGTTTTTTTAAAGTGTAGATGTGACTAAAATGAGCTGGGTCTCTTATATAAACAGAGTTCCTTCCACCGGACTCGGTCGGTATACAATTCCCATCGATCTTACCATCCTCACCCACAACTCTATCGGTGAGTAATAAAAATTCTAGGCCGGATGGAGAAGGTGGAGAGGCTGACGGCAGAACACGGCGTGGTGATCTTTAGCAACACCGAATGTTGCCTTTGCTACGCCGTTAACGTCCTCTTCCACAACCTCGGAGTTAAGCCACACGTCCACCACCTCGACGCCGACCACCGCGACGGCAAGGACATTGAGGTCACCCTCACCGCCGTCATGGGCCACGCCAACGGCGCCACCCCACTGCCGGTGGTTTTCATTGGCGGAAGGCTCGTCGGGTCCACCAGCGAAGTCATGTCTCTCCACCTCAGTGGTTCTCTCCTTCAGCTGCTTAGGCCTTACCGCCGCCAGTAGGTCTCTGGACGGCCAATCAAACATACGTACTACGTGGTACATTTTATTTTGACTTTATTGTAAACACACAGGGTGCTACTTGTACAATAATTTGTACGATAATTGTCAACATTGTTTAGTTACAAAAAATGTGTACAAATTATGTGTATGTACAAATGATTTTTTCATGTAAACCTATATACTTATACTTATTTATATACACACATTATATTATATTATGTGATGCGAATGCAATGAATGTCAATATATGTCATACGATACCCATACTACTATGTATTATTTTATCACCCTCCCTCTTTTTTTGAAAAGGGAAACTTATTTATTATTTGACAACTCCGGTACCCACCTAAAAATTGGGGTACCGTACCTACCATTCACTTGATTGGTTCAAATCATTATATCATTTTTAATTTAGATTTAAATAATTCAACTGCAGCATTCTGATTGGTCCATGTGGACAAATGTATGGTACCTTAAGGGTACCATAGAATCTACCTTATTATTAATGATAAAAGTATCAAGGAAATAAGCAATATAATAGTTCGAGATTACACGGGAATAAGACATAAAATTCAATGGCTCTCAATAGCCAAACAAATTCGCTCACCCCGCAAATATGTAGACTAATTTAACAACATTACTAAACTTCCTACTCAAATGGTAATGGAAATAAAACAAATTGTCCAATAAGAAGGGAAATAGAATACATCAAGCATCCCGATTTTCTAACCATCAGAAAGAGAGGCAAGATTTGACCAAACACATCTAAGGAAGCTCTCCTGATCTCATGCCGTGACACAATTATAGGTTGTGCTGCTCTGAGAGCATATCTTATTTGTTATTTTTGAGTCATCTTTGTCTATTCCTTGATTGCTTGAATCACCGCCCGAGCATCTAGTTCAAATACCAGTGCAACCTTCCTCCTCATCAATGGACATTCTTTCATATACACTAGTAATTTTCTCCACAATAAAAGTAGAAAAATATGTCACAAGGAAACTATGCAGAAATTCACAAACAATCTATGAGAATTATGAAGACACCATACACCACAGTAAATGTTTGAGCCCATACAGCACCTTACGAAGACGATAAATGTGATGAGGAAAGAATGGATGAACAAACCCCAGTGGCCGACGCATATAAACCTCCTCTATTAAATAACCACATTCTTGACATCTAACAGACGCACCCCCCAGCCAAAAGAAGTCACAAGAGAAAGTAATAGCCGCACAGTAGTGGGTTTGACAACATGACTAAAAGTTTCAGAAAAAATCTACCACTGCCTGCTGATTAAAACCTTGAGTCACTAAGCGAGATTTGTGACGATCTATAGACCCATCAGAAGTGTATTTTGTTTTATAAATCCATTTACATCCAACCACATTTTTTGTGCTATCACTAGGTACTAAATCCCAAGTCTTATTAGCAATGAGACCATTGAACTCTTCAACCATAGCCGCCCGCCATTTTAAACTTTTATTTGCTTGATAAAAACAAGTAGGATCGGGGGATACTCCACAGAGCTAAGAGATAAAATGGTTTTAGTTTTGTAGATGCCGTCTTTGGCTTGTGTTCTCATGGGATGGATATTTTGGACCGGTGGAGGGCTGGTGATAGACAATCGGGTGGGCTAGCGACGATACTAGGAGTTGGGCTCGGTGACGGGCTTGGCAGAGAGCTGGATGTGAGACTGGAGCTGGAAGGAGTAACGTGGTCTGGGCTTGAGGGAAGGTCAGGTGGCGAGGTATTGGGCTGGATTGATGGCGAGGATGTTGGGCTGGTGGGAGTACTAGACTGTGCGGCTGGAAGAGAGATAGGTGGCAAATGTGGCGGGTGAAATATAGGTGGCCCAGAAGAAGTTGGGGTAGGATGTGCTACATTTGTGGGAAAAGAGGGGAGTGAGAAAAAATGGTTGACTCGAAGGATTCTGGGGTGTTGAGTGACTGGAAGAGAGGGTGGGATAGGGAAAAGTAGTCTCATGGAAAACAACAGCACGACCAATGTAGACGTGACCAGTGGTAGAGTCAAGACAACAGTAGCCTTTGTACCCCGGTGCATAGCCAATGAAAACACAAGGAGTAGACCGCAGTGATAGCTTATTTCCCTAAGTGGCGACTTTGTTGGGAAAACAAGCACAACCAAACACACGTAAAAAAGTGTAGTCAGGAGATTTGAACAAATTTCTGGTACGGGATGAGACCCTGTAGAATAGGCGTGGGAAGACGATTAATAATGTACGTGGCAATGTAAAGTGCATCAACCCAAAAAGAGGGAGGAAGGTGTGCATCAATAAGCATAGTACGTATTAATTCTAAAAGATGACGGTGTTTACGTTCAGCCACGTCATTCTGAGCAGGAGTGTCGGAATAAGATTTTTGAAATAAAATACCACAACTAAGAAAATGATGAATACATTGGTGGTTATTAAATTCACCCCCACCATCACTCTGAAAATATTTAATTTTACAACCTAAAAGATTTTCTCTTAGTTTCCGAAAATTACAAAAATGAGTAAAACACTCAGATTTCCTATGCATGGGATAAACCCAAGTAAACCTATAAAAGTCATCAATAAAACAAACATAATATTTATAACCAAGATGGGATAAAATATGGGACTGCCAAACATCGGAATGAATTAATTGTAATGGAGCAGTAGCAGTATGTAAAACATCTTGAAAAGGTAAACGATGGGATTTGCCGAGTCTACAAGAAGTACATAAATGATGAAAATTACTAGAGGGAAAAATAGAATGTGTGCGCCGAAGAGTAGACAATATGCTATCACCACAATGACCTAAGCGCTTGTGACATACCGGACCAGGTGCAGAGGAAGTAAAAAGGGCTAGATGTGAAGAGGAGATCGTGAAGGGGTTAGTCCTATCCTTATTGGAAGCGTGGAGTAGAGTTGCCCCCGTTTGATTGTCCTTGACAAAAAAAGAAGATTGGTTAAAAATAGCAGTGCAATCATTATCCTCACACAACTTTTGAATAGATAGTAAATTAAATTTTAGGTGAGGAACATGATATACTGATTTTAAACAAAGTGGGCGGCCAGGTGAAGGTAAATGAACATTGCCAATCGTAGATTGATAAATTCGTATTACAACACGCATTTGATGTGTGTTGCGATCGACTTTTGATGGTTTTCCTAGCTTTAAGGTGTTATAAGTCTCAATTTTAGCTCAAGTTATGTTTACCGGGCGTTAGTTCGAGTTTTGTGTTGTTTGGGGTCAAAAATCAGGAAATTGGAGTCCGGCACCGGCGCTTGAGTAGCAATCGGGGTGATTTGATGATGCATTCGAGAGAGAATTGAGAGCTTTGTAGGTCACCGGGATGTTCACGATGAAGATTTGAAGATAAAAGAGCTTTAGGATTGACTACGGGATCAAAAAAAGACGAATAGAGCTTGAAAACGACGATCAGGATGACCTTCTGTCAATCATTCAAGCATATATTTTTGTAGAAACATCCAAATGACAAGATTCAAGTTCCATACGAAATCCAACTTCAAGGACTACAATTCATATGAAGACGCGATTGCTATAATCTGAGAATAGGAAGGTGAAAACAGACGAAGAAGTCAAATGATTGCTGTTGCGATTTCAGAATGCGACCTTCCACCATTTTATTCATATTTTTTGATTGGATGATTCAAATCAAGTTTTGCAAGTTGTGGTGGATAGAGGACTTCATTATCTACAACTTTTACGAAAGCAGCATCATCAAATTCGTAATATAAAGGCACGCACTGTCGTGCTCAGAATTAGGCACGCCGTGCGTGTTGAAGGATTCGCGAGGGAGCTACTGCCACCCAGGCACGGTCGTGCCTGGAAGTTTTTCACCCCCAGGTGTTCAGGCCAGGATTGATATTTTTTCTATTTAAACACCCCACAAACCCATGTTTTTTGTTACGGAGCTTAGAGAGAGGCCTAGGGACGAAATTTCATCTAAAATTCCGTTTGATCATGATGTATGGATAATTTCATGATGGATTGATTGCATGAATGTTATTTAATTTTTGTTTGAATAATTTAATTGATATCTCTTGTAACATAGGATCGCGGCTAGAATTACAATTGCTTGTAGAATAAATTAAGAGAGATCTAATTTATTCTAGGACACCTTCACACACACTTAATCGTTTGCTAAGAGATTAGTAGTGATTAAGGGGTCATATGCTCGCTCGTTTTGGAAATAATTTTAGGATCCTGTCGAATGAGAGATCAGTCTGGTCCCCTAAATTATCTTACTCTACACCGCGAGAACGGTAAGAATTTAGTAATGATTAGTGAGGCTCAATTAAATTGATTTCATGTCTCATCAAAAGTAATATTGTGATGATAACTAAAAAATTAAGTACACGTACATCCAAATATGTGATGTGCACTACATTTTCAAAGACCACTTTTTCAACATTTCGAAATAACATGTTTGCACAATTGACTATAGTGCACAAGTAACATATAGTGATGCACACACTTATTCTAATGTGCATAACTTACATAATTTGTTTATAATGCACAATTGACACATACGAAACGTGAGTTAGATACAGGTTTATGTGCATTATACAAATGAGTTGTGTGTTAGATACATGTTTATCATCATTACGTATTCGGGGTTGTGTGTTAGATTTCGGTTCTTGTGCATGACATACTTGTTGTCATATTACTTAACTCTTACAATCTTACTTGTTGTGCATTAAATATTGGATTTTATGCTCAAGATACTTATTATAGTGTTTGTTATACATATTGTGCATTGGAGACTTGTACTTTTGCATTCGATATTTGTACTTATGTGTTAGATACATGTTCTTGTGCGCATTAGCTAGAGATACTTGTTGTGGTTCATAGTGTACATATTATACTTATTTTAAAAAAATTATATATGCATTATTGGTGTCAGATGAAAGATCATAAAAAACTATTTAATTTGATATATTTTTTGTTAAAATCAGATTATAATTTTAAAAGTTAAATCAATTCTAAACTAAAAACATTTTAGATAATTTAGATATTTATTTCTACCTACATTTTAGGTAACTGGAAGCCTCAAATGGATACACATTAAAGAATTCTTTTTAAAATTACTGTAGTGCCCTTATGAACCTACGTATGGATTATAGAGAGTGCAAGGGTATTTTTTAAATGTTTGCACTTCCACCCTACAACCATGCACCTAATCATTTTTTAGCCTTTAATTTACTAAGATCTATTGTTAAGATTTGTTCTTATTTCT